AGCTTGGTGCTGCTTGGAGGCTGGGCCTGGTGGCAGCTGGCTGCTTAGAGCCTGGGCCTGGTGGAAGCTTGGTGCTGCTTGGAGGCGGGCCTGGTGGAAGCTGGTGGCAGCTGGCTGCTGCTTGGAGCCTGGGCCTGGTGGAAGCTTGGTGCTCCTTCGAGCCTGGGCCTGGTGGAAGCTTGGTGCTGCTTGGAGGCTTGGCCTGGTGGCAGGTTGGTGCTTGGAGGCTGGGCCTGGTAGAAGTTGGCTGCTTGGAGCCTGGGGCTGGTGGCAGCTGGCTGCTTGGAGCCTGGGCCTGGTGGAACCTGGCTGCTGCTGCTTGGAGGCTGGGCCTGGTGGAAGCTGGCTGCTGCTGCTTGGAGGCTGGCCTGGTGGAAGCTTGGTGCTGCTTGGAGGCTGGCCTGGTGGAGGCGGGCCTGATGGCAGCTGGCTGCCGTTGTTCAAACTGTGCAGTCTGGGCATCGGCGAGCACACCTGCAGATGGAAGATGGATCAGAGACTTTCTCACCAACCGTTGGGGCTCCAACACTCCTCAGTGCTGACAGTGGGGCCCCTCAGGGCTGTGTGCTCGGCCCCATTTGTACACCTTGTACACCCACGACTGTACACCAACCCACAGCAGCAACATCTTTGTCAAGTTGACACTACTGTGGTTGGGCTGATTCACAACAACGATGACCTACATATTCACAGTGTTCTTACCTCAGCAGTGCAATATACAGTATTTATCTACCATTTTCCTATAACAATGCTCATTCCTGACTGTATATACTTCCTACTGGCTCCTTTTGTAAATATATGTATATATTCTTATTTGTCCTTTTACACTTTTGCTTTTATACGTTTGCACCACTGGAGTTGTCTTTAAATTTCGTTGTACTTTGTGTATGATAACAATAAAAGCATTCTATTCTATTCTATTCTGATATAATTATTTGTAGAGTTCCATTTTATTTGTTTTGTTTTTCTAGGGGATGTTCTGTATGTAGCTTAAAACTCATGCATCGTTTTTGAAGCTCAAAATGAATTTTCATTCCATTCATGTGTACCTCTTGGACATGCTTTTATTTTGAAGGTGACGTGCCTCCCTCGCCCTCGCCGGCCCTCCTTTTTGCTGCCTTGATGACGTCACAGTGTGACCAGCTCAGCCCGCCCCCTGACGTCACCAGGCAATGATTTTCGCGCGCAAGCTACTTACAGGGTCAATGACTGATCTCACAGGTCACGCTGATCTCAGTGCAGCCTCATCGTAAATGGGTGTTGTTGTTTTTTTAAAATTCAAACCAGCCCTTTGGAAACAGCACACTGGAAACCTGTGTAGTTCCACCTCAGAGAACACCTGGAGATATAGTTCAGTGTGAAAAACCTGTGTGTCAACCTGCATGCATGAATGAGGTTGTTTATTCTACTATAAACACAATCCAGCTACTGAGGGGGAAACAACAACAGATTAGTATTACATTTGTATTGTTAAAAGATGTCCAGCAAAGACGTCCAGCAGATTACAGAAATAGATTAATATTACAACAACAGAAAGCACTCAAATACATGTTCAAGCAGTGCCACACAGCACAAAGATGGGTTGGATAGAACATTTAGTGCATGATTTATCCAGCATGGCAGACATCACAGTCACGCAATGTGCATCTACAAGAAGAGGCATGAATAAACGGACCGGTTGCTTTTAGCATAACGCACACTCATGGACACACATTCCAGCGATCACTGATGACATACTGCACACAGCAGCTGCTTATCTTTTGGTTCATTCGTCTGCAAAACCTAAACTTGACCTTAATCTGACCCGTACACAGCAGAGGTGAGACAGATCTGAGCAATATCGCTGAAATGTCCACTGAGTCAAAACTGCATCACCTTACAATAACTGCATTATGTCTACATTGAAAAAAAGACAGAATTTTATCTTATAAAACACAGAGCACACTCTAAATACAAGCTCTAAGTAGAAACTCATTACAACAAAAGTAAATACAGCTGTTATTACTGACATGCAAGTTGAAAAACCAAAACTAAATTCAGCACATCTGGGATTTTCAATTAGCTGATTGTAAGAATTCACAAAACGATAAAGGACACAGGAAGACCACTGACCAACTAAAAACCAGGAGAAACACACCTGCATCAGCTATCAGGAGGTCAGTTAAGGCACAGGGCTTATCAACAGAAATCAGTAGAGGACAGAGCATGATGTCTGCCTGTACGTATGGTGCCCAAGAAGTACAAAACTGCAAGATGAAAGTTTGCAAAGTGACATTAAAGGAATCATGAATCCTGGACACACGTTGTTTGATCAGATGAGACCATAGCAGGGTGCAGAATGTTGGAAATGTTCAGGACTACCACAGTGAAGTCCTGCCGGTAAAGCAAGCAGGTGTGACGGACGACATTATTTGAAACCATCAATGTCTGTGGATGCACCAAACGAGTCGACTCCCGGTCTGGAGACATTTTGCAGGAGAGGAACTTTCCAGCATGGCGACGATCCAAAGCACATTGATCCAATTCACACAAGAACTTTTAATGAAGATAGAAAAAAAAAAGAGAAACTATGACCTGACCAAACATATTTCTCTGCCTGAATCTCATATAACACCTTTAAAAGACGACAGCGGGGCAAAACAATGCTTGACAGAACATCTCTCCAGAAATCTGGTGCTAAACTATAAAGAAATAAACGCTTATAGAGAACCTTTCTACCTTTGTAGTACTCAATCCACATCACAATGTCTCTCATTGGACACAGTGCTGCCTGCCTGCCTGCCTGCTATTGAGAGCAACTTGGGGTTCAGTGTCTGTGTCTTCATGCGTAGAGAGAGAGAGAAAGGTGATCATGCACCTAGAAAAAAAGAAAATACATGCATATGATTTTATTCAGCAACAACAAGCTTGCCTTAATAGGATGTGTTTGGTAGTTTCTGTACGTTTTTTTCCTTCAGATCCACCAAGAGCCTCTGTGAGATCTGTCATATGTGAGACCAGCGTCAGTGCAAGAACAGGGTCCAGTTAACTACAATTAAATTAAAGAAGGCATTTAAAACAATCATCTGGATGTTAATGTGCCTCAGCCTTTACATCACTGCTGCTTTCTCCTTTATCTACCCGATTGAATGATCCAACCTGATGTTAGGCAGAATACAGCCTCTGTTTTCCTCTTCTCCTGCTTTATGTCACTTAATCCACATTATTTTATTTATTTTTTAGTTATGTTGGAGGGAAAAAGCTGCAGCTGTTCTTCTGGTACAATCTGCCCTAACAACACAAACGTGTCAAACTGGCAGATTTGGTTCAAAATGATCATTTAAAGATTTGGCAAAACTACTTTGCACCAAAAACAACAACAAAAATATCAATCAAAGTCGATTCTAAACACACAAGTTCTCAGGTTGAACCGCAGACGTCAGATGTTAGTGTTTTCCCTCAAAGGATGGTAAATCTTTGAAGCACCAACCTTACCTGTCAGTGGAGAACCCGCTCTACCAACTGGGCCACAGCCGCCCACTAAATAACAGATATATGGCAGATCTATCTAAACAGTATTTTATATGTAAGTTTTACACAAGAGCAAATACCTACTTAGAATAAACGCAGTTACTGACAGCTCTGAACTGATGGTGTTCTCACTTCTGTCGCCGTTCTCACCTCAAGACCGAACTAATTTCATGGATGAGTTCTGTCACTTCGAGCAGAATCTTTTTATTCGATCCCTCTTTTCGCTCCAAAGAACAACCGTTCACATTTTTGTCTTATTGTTTATTTGGAAAACAATATTACAGTAAATCTTAGAGGCAGCCCTACAGCATTTAGTCACAATTAACTTGCAACACAGTTCACTGGTAGGGGGACGTGTAACACAAAGAGTCATCGACATTTAGGAAACGCTTTCACATTACTAAAAAAAAATGAAGGGCTAGTTTTAAAATAATCACTCTTCTGAACACTGATTCAAAATCGAAACATTTTCCATAGTAAAAGAAAAAGAGTGAGTCCAGGGCTGGAATATACAAGGGCACCGTCGGCTATATGTGGGGTCGGTTGGGGCGTCAGTAGTTGCAGGACATCCGTCAGCTCATGGAGACATGGTCAGGGTGTTTTTCCTCTTGGAGTCCCGTCGTGGGAACGGCACGAAGCTCTTCACCTCTCTGAAGCATAGCCCTGGGCACGAGAGGGGAGCGGTGTTTGCTTTTTATATGAGCAGCACGTTCACAGTATCAGCTAATCGTTGAAGAGGAAGCCATAAAAGACGTATTAATTAGAATTCTAATTACACATTTTCACATTATCTAAAGTCCTGCAACAGGATGACTGTGTAGCTGTAAATCATCCGATGAGGCCGACATGGTGAGCACATAGAGCTGCACTTAATGCGGTGGGGAAGCAGATTATTGACACAGTATGACAGTGAAACTGTTCCACTGCTACACGTGTTTGGTGTTTACACTTCCCTCCAACAGTATTGGAGCAGCGAGGCCACTTCCTTTAATCGTTGCTGT